TTGGCAGGGTGATGTCTCTGCTTTTTAGTATGCTGTCTAGATTTGCCATAGCTTTCCTCCCCAGGAGCAAGCGTCTTTTAATTTCTTGGCTGCAGTCCCCATCTGAGGTGATCTTGGAGCCCAGGAAGATAAAATCTGTCACTACCTCCATTTCTTCCCCATCTATTTGCCAGGAATTGAGAGGGCCGGATGCCATGATTTTGGTTTTCTTAATGTTGAGTTTCAAGCCAACTTTTGCACTCTCCTTCTTCACCCGCATCAAGAGGCTCTTTAGTTCCTCTTCACTTTCTGGAGGTAAAAATAAATTTATTAAATTGAACATAACACATAGCAATTGAACACAGCTGTCACATTTGTTGACCATTGTGTATAGTTTATCTTTTCTGTGAATATGTACAAAAAGTCCTTGGGGTTTCCACCAGTATCATCTTTGCAGGTAAATAACCTCCAGTCCGTTTCATAAATGACAGGACATGAAAGGCTTTTTTGGGTTTAGCTGCACTTCTGAACTTTCATTCCTCCCCCAGGATGGGGTCCAAGTGAGGAAAACCTCTGAGCGAGAGGGGCCAGTCACAAGTACGAAGCCATGGCGAGCCAAGGAGGGGAACATGCTCTACAGCCGCTTTGTGAAGGTGACGGGCTGTGGTGGAGGACCGGTGCCTGGGAGACCGTCGGGATGGAGCTTTTCCTGGGTAGTGGGCAGAGTGCCAGAGATTCGTCTGATTTGCCCTCCTTGCAGGCAGCTACCCTGATATCTGGCACAGAGGAGCCTATGAACCCCATGTCCTCCGTAGAACAGGAGGAGGAGAAACTGGACCTCGCCACAGCAAGGAGGTAAGGCTGAGGAGGGGCTTGGAGAAACCCGGCTCCTGTCCCACTCCAGCCACGCAAATGCTGACCAGGTTGGTTCCCCCCCTTCTGTCTTTTGCAGGCTGACTGACCAGGAGCTGTTCCAGGCCTGTGGGGGAAGAACAGTCCACAAGTGAGCAAGCAGGGGAGGGTGGACCTAGACACAGGTTTTGGGGGAAGACCCAGTGCTGGATGGGTTGTGGTGCAACAAGTACAGGCAGACCCTCTGAACCGATCGAGCAGGCCTCTGTCCCAGTGACACAGGGCTTGCCGGGGGTGGGGTTTACCCAGTGGGGTTGGCTGTCATGCTGGCCTGGCTACTGCAGGGCCCCCACTGAAGTTCCCAGAAGGGGCAGGAGAGGGCAGCTGAGTCCCCCTGCCCCTGTGGCTCTTGTGGAGATGAGTCTTCCTTAATCCCAGCCCCTCCTATGCTGTTGCCAGGCTAGGCCAGCAACTCCTGCCTTCCAACCCCGCGAACATCAAGGCGGGCCCGGCCTCATGTCTCTCCTTTGCTGCTTCTCCAGGGGTGCTCGGCATGGCATCACGATGAGGGCAAAGCTCGCCCGGCTGGAAGAGCAGGAAAAGGCTTTCTTGGCTAGCTCTGTCCAGTGGAAGGACGGGCCGGGGACGGCCCCCAGCAGCTGCCCTGACCCGCAAGCCAAGAAACGCAAAAGAAGCAAAGCGGGGGCTGCTACAGAGAAGAGCCAGGTGGGGGAGGACTGCCTCAAGGCCAAGCCCAAGAAGAAGAAGAAGAAGAAGACGAAGACCAATGGCAAGGAGCTGAATGGGCCCTAGGGAGACGGCAGGCCAAGCGTGGCAGCCAGAGGAGCAGAACGGCTGGGAGCTTCAACCCTGCTCGAGCTGCACTTGTGCACTTGTCCAACAAAGGACTGGCTCATCTCCTTCACTAAGGAGTGCGTTACGTTGAAAATTGTACAGATAAATTATTTTTACATAAATAGATAATACATCTACACAATATTGCTTAATTTTCCTTAAAGACTTGGAAGCCTTTGCCTATAGATTTCTTATTCATACTGAAGGGGGCGGGTGGGTGGGTGTGTCTGACAGCATCTCTTGCTCCTGGAAAAAATCAATTGAAGTATCAGATTTTGAAAAATAATATAAAAATTTAAAATGAAGGCAAGGATACACCGCTGCTGCGCGAGCTGCACTGGCTGCCAGTGGCCTTCCGGGTACGCTTTAAGGTGCTAGTTACCACCTTTAAAGCGCTCCATGGCATCGGTCCTGGCTATCTCCGAGACCGCCTTCTGCCGCAGATTCCCTCCCACAGGCCGGTACGCTCCCACAGAGCGGGCCTCCTCAGGGTGCCGTCGGCCAAGCAATGTCGGCTGGCGACCCCCATGGGGAGGGCCTTCTCTGTGGGTGCCCCCACCCTCTGGAACGAACTACCCCCCGAGATCCGGACGATTCCGGATCTCTTAACCTTCCGCCGCGCCCTCAAGACATGGCTTTTTCAACAAGCGGGCCTGACCTAGGGTGAGTTTTAAATAGGGATAATTCTTAACGATTTTAAAGTTTCAGGGGATTTTTAAGGATAATTT